GATTTAGAGATCAATTTCAAAAAAATATTAGAAAGTTTAAGGTTGTTAAAATTCTCTATTCACATGGCTAAGATTACGTACCTGCTGCCATCTTTCGCCTGCAATGATAAATTCAAACTGCAAACCTAATGTAGTGGTTTCCTTTTTTCTTTTCTATTATTTCATACTAACCGCTACATTGGCAGCACTGGCTATAATTTCGCTGATGTCACGTTATGTTGATGCGCAGAACAAAACGAATTTTAACAGTTTTTGTGAAGGTACGAGAAGTTGTGGAGTTGTGGAGTTGTGTAGTGGAAATAAGGTTGATATGTCTTGTATGGAAAATTGAGGAAACTAATCGTTTCGCATGAAAATAGTTTTGGGTGAGTGAAATCAAAAATACCAGCGTGTTTTGTTTTATCAACTCACCTAGTCATTAAATTATTTAACTTTGACCTTGCCCTTGTAATCTATTAGTAAGCTTTCGTTTTTGTTAGGAAGTCCTATTTCAGGTCAATACAAGTAAAAGGATCTTCAGTAGAAATGTTGAGTAAAAATATATTTGATTCCTAATTTATAAACAAGGTCTCCTAACCTCTAGTGAAGAATTGTAGTAGCAGATATTTGTCATTAAATAAATACATCATTTATTAACGTTGGAAACGAAGCACCTGCAAATAGCGTTTGCCTCATCACTGTAAAAAGAATTCCAGTAGTAATTTTTTGTGAGGATGCCAGTTCATGCAATTCCGAGAACAACTGTGTCATATCTCAACTCTTTCGAATCTCAACTATTTCGAATGATGTTTTCGAAAACTAGGTGGTGTTTCAAGATCAGAAGGAATTCTAATAGGAAACTCAATAATAGTTAATTTTCGGACACTATGTGTTTTTTGTATATCAACTATCTACTAAGTTGTAATCCGGAATAAATTCAGATATTCAAATTATCATATTTTTTGATTTGAATAAAAAAGTGTGTTTTGGTGTTCAGGTATGAACAGTTGAGGTACCTACCTGATGAATTGTACAGTAAAGTAGTACCAGGAAGCAAAAACAATAAAAATGAATCACAACCAGTTTTATCTTCCTCTTGAAAATGATCACTTGGTGATTGAAACACATGTCGAGGTGTTAAAATTAACGATTTGGTGTTGGGAAAAAACTCCAGTAATATTCTTTACAATCAGAAAAGATTACACCAAGCATTGAGACAGAAATCTAAAGAGAGGTTTGTGGGTCATATATTCATGTCATCAATAGGTAATTTTCAAAATACCTTCATTTACTGTCATTTCAATCCCTATGCAGTAATCAGCTGCTATAGACTATCTGAAATCAAGCAAAGCACACATCATCTTAATTTTTGAGATTGCCTTTTGTAGCCTGGTTTTCAATCAATTTGCATAACTCTTCAGTAAAAAATAATATAAGATATTGAAAAAATGTTTTGTCATTTTCAGTCAAAACGTCACACAGGTTCTTGACTTTTACTGAAGATGGAAATTTGGTGAAAATCCAAAACCAAATGAGTGTTTTCAGGTGAAAACCTACAAATTGCTAATTTTTCTTTAATGTTTAAAATATCCTTCATTATCATATAAACAATAATAAAATCTTTTTTAAACTTCTTTTACATTTCATTTACCTGAATATCTCTACTTGTCAGTGTACATCTCTCCAATTCTTTCAAAGCCCGTCTTTCATTAACATTCTATATAGTCCCTCTCAAAAGATGTAAATAACAAATATACACAATTTGATCATAAGTTGACATGTCATGGCAATAAAATAAGAT